GAGAGAGGTTATTCCCCTGCTGTCCAATTCCGTATCTTCATAGTCTCATACTTGGTTGTTGTTAAGATAAAACTGGCATTACTTCAGCATTCTGCTAATGAGAGAAAGAGCTACATGGGATAATGCTCCCAAAGGCGACATCGCGCCCTGGACTTCAGCCTCTGTCCCTGCGCATCAGGAGCTGATGAGCTATGCAAACAGAGAAACAATTTCCTTTCTCCAGACAGTTCTGATTTGGTTGAGGAAGGCTGAGAACCCCAGAAAGAAATGCAAGCAGACTACTTGATCATTTTCATGAGGAAAAAAAAAAAAAAAAAAAGAAGATTAAAAGTAGCCCAGAGGCTGTCACAGGCAGCAAGCATAGCAGGAAAATTAGTTCATTCTGACTCACAACAGAGTGATCTAATTTAATGGGGCACTGACAAGGCTGTCGGGCATTAATTTAGCTGTTATCTACGTTAGCCTGATTCATGGTTGTGTCCTCTCCATATGGGGGGCTTGAGACGTCACTCAGACTCTGTGTCGCCAACGGAGCGCCTACTCTGGAGGACCTGGAGCCCCTTCCTGCAACCCTGCGCTCGCTGCGAGGGAGGGATCAGCATCTCTTAGCAGTGCAGGCTCAGATTAGAAGGCAAAAAGTCCTTGCAGGCAGGGAAAAAAATGCAACTGTAATTAAAGAGCCCCTCCGGTCACACAAGGGGGCAGAAGAGAGGCTGGATAGGAAAGCTTCCTTCTGGCATTTCCTGCCTTTGATTTCTTAATTTTGCAACCTGATCTCTTTTCTTTTAAGGTACTTTAGTATGTAATTTCTTAAGCTTCTTTATTTTAGAACAAACGGAAAGGCTATTTGATCCTCCTACCAGATTGAAACCACTATGTTAATTTCCACAGAACTGTACTGTTACAAATTGCTTGTTTGCATCTTTGTTTTTGCTGGTTAGGGAGTAATCTTTCCTGCCTGAAAAACTAGAGTTGTTCCAGCCCATGAGAACACTTCAACCTGATCCAGAATAGTTCCCCTAAAGGAATAAAAAGCCGGTGAGGAAAAGGAAGAATGATGTGGCTACATAATGATATAATGACTAGGAAAACTGTGGCATTTGAAAATTCCTGGTCATTTCAATGGTCAGAAGAATGAGATGAAGCCAGATCCCCAGAACTAAAGTGCCCTGGTAAGTTCATGGGTCCTGAAAATAAAGTTACATTTCGTTTTTATTATCAAAAAAAAAAGAGAAAAAGTAAGCACCAGCCACTTGATCCTGGAGATCCGGTAAAAAAAAAAAAAAACAAAAAAAACAAAACAAAAACCACACCATGAATTTGAGACCATTCAATTTTTTGTCTCTTTGCAAATGGGTTTGTATGAAATTGGCAGCGTCCTCATACTTTGTCAGCCAAATTGGCCACATCAGACTATCTGCATGCCCTTGAGGCTGGAATAGTAATGTACTGTAATGTGATGCTCTAACAAAAGCACCTAATTGTGAAGAACAATCCATTTGCATCAAGATAAGCAGCTAGTAACGTTTCCCTCTCACAGCCACTTACAGACACTGACTTTGGCTACAAATTACTGCCTAGTGCTGTTTTCAGCCTTTCCCACTCTTTACAGGACCTTAACAAAGCTGATGTGTTGTACTCATTACCCTAACCTGTTTTCCGGTTAGTGTGAGTGACTAACAAAATTGTCGTGGTCCGTGATTCATCTTGAATAAAGTATTTTCCAGTCACACAGCAAAAGCCTTGCTGAAAGCGGAAAGATTTGATCTTTAGCACCGAAGCCTTTGCTCATGTGCTCCTAAAACTCATGCATTTTGTACCATGTTATTTATTAGTATCGAACATACCATCAGTAGCCAAAGTTGCTTCTGCTATGAACTTGGCAATTGCCAAAAGCCTGCTATGCGCAGGAAATGAAACGTACAGAAATTAAATGCACTGTGGGAAGCACCTGGTGTGTGGGATTCCCACGTGGTTGTTTGGCATGGCTGAAAATCTAAGACGATGGGAAAAATCAAAGGGACGAAAGACCCCCAAATCCTTCAAACAGAAAACAAGTACCTATCCAATCACCACATGGCTCCAATCTCCTATGGCAACTCCTTCCCCCAAACTGAAGAGGAATGTGGCACACAGGACAGCCTTTGTGAAGCAAATAAGTAGTCAGGAGGGCATGTGGAAGGCTGCACAATGGTGTTAGAGATTAACAAATTGGATGGGTTCCTGAACTGCTGAGTCTGGCATAGAAATGAAAGTAAAAGAGATGATATGCAAAAAAAGGAAGATGTGACATTGTTTGACAGACATGCAGGGTTATGTTTATAGCTGCAGAAGAAAGAAGAGGCATTTTGAAAAATCTGATACAGGACGACGATATTGGAATTTGGGGGCTTCAAACTAGAAGGAATGGCTTCAGTGAACCTGACATCCCCAATGGTGAAGTTTCGAAATACTGCAAAGGTAACACAGGTTACCTCCTTGGCATTCATCTCCTAGGGGCTTGGTGTCTGGAAGCATAGACGAGCCAGGCTGTTGTTTTATGCTGTGCTGGAAACGTGCAGAACAGGAATCAGCATGCAGGGGGCCAGAGCTGCACAACCCTTGGTTGACCCCTTGCAACATATGTCGATTGCCTTTCAGCTACGATGACTTCAGATCAGATGTTCGTTTGACACAGAGATCCAAAAGTGGGGGAAAGGAGGCCAATAACTTAAATCACTGTTCAGCAGGATTATAGTTGCGTTTGAATTAAGACCTGTGTACAAGGCAGACACCCTACAGATCTCTCACTGCCCTCCATGAGGTCCAGTTTCCAAGTTCAGAGCAGCAACACAGGGAGGTTTCTCTTTACATCATCCCATAAACAGCATATAGACCGCAAAGGCAGGGCTAGGAAGGGCCAGGGCTGTCCTGGCATGTTATGCATTGCCTAAAACCACATGGAATAAATTAGGATTGCTCAATTTGTCATATATGCTAATCCACATATGCAGAGCCAGACTCTAGGCTTAACTGGCTTGCTTCTCTGAAAACACTTTCTTTTATTCCCTTACAGTGGCAGATAAATGTATTTACTGGTGTCTCATCTCCAACAGTCTGTAATTCATGCCCCTACAGTGCTTTAATATAATAGCAATGTCCATTTTAACACCGTGCTGGGCCTCTCCTGTCCTGGTTCTCCTAATTTTTTCATTATATATTTAAGATGTTTCTCTGTATCTATCTTTCTTTTTGGTCAGTGAAATGAATTAATAATTGTTCCAGATGTTCCAGGACATACTTTCTAGCATCACGTCCTGGGAGCTATCAGTATGTTTTAAATATGGAAATTACAGAAGTGTTAGGGGAAAGGAAAGAAAATTATACCAACATTTGCTTTAGAAAGTGATACTTTCCTCTGACTAGCCTCAAGCCCAATGCATTTATTCAGGATTTAATTTATGGTATCTATTTAATAATTTTAAAAGGAGATTGCAGAAAATATAATAAAACTCTAAGGAATATAGATACAATGAAATAGATACATCTATATCTAAAAAAATATATATGCCGTTTAAGCAAAGAACATTTACCCTGTTTTATGCTTTTGATACGCTTTTGACATCTCACCTTGCATTTGCACTAGAAGATGTGATTTTTCACTGCGCATTGTAATCAGAGCACTTGTTAATGTCGTGTTGTGCAATGACAGCACTGATAGATGGCATGAAACATGCTGAGACAGTGCCATACCCTGATGGATGACTGTGCCCAGACTGCTGCGCTCTCCCAGGAGTGGCTGGATGCCCCCGGCACAGGATGATCCACGTCTCCCCAACAAGTGAGGAGGGAGGTGGCAAGGCACTAGCACCCCTCCAGTCAGTGCCAGCCAGGAGGGCCAAGCTGGGCCCATGCAGGCACTGCCATGGCTCCTCCTAGCTCCCTCCCCTCCACCCCCTGCACATGCCCTTTGCTGCCTCGGTTGTAGTGCAGAAGCGCAGTAAGGGGCTTTTCAGGAAAAGAGGGTAAAAAATGAATGTGTAAAAATGTCAGCCTTGGGGGGTTTGTGCATGTGGTGAGGGTAAAGGAGAACAAATAGATAGACCTTTTTTTTTAAGTTCTTCAACCCAATCATAAGATTTTGGGTTTACTGAATGGACCCCGATAAAGCTCTTGGGATGTGCTGGGTCCAAGACCACAGTCCCCTGCCAAATGTACATCACTGCCTCATGGCAGTGGGTGCTCGGGCCTTGCTTGCCATTGCCGCTGGGGGCTCTGCACCCTGCTCTGCAGACCTGGATGGGTGGACAGCAGGTACCTCACCACTGTCCATAGGTAGCACAGCACCCTCCAGGAGCATGGTTCATGATGACATCGCTCAGAATGAATGCTTTGGGGTCAAGCCAGCAAAATCAAATAAAACTTCCAATTTGGAAGTGCCAAAGCTTTTTTCTTTGCTTAAGATGTCAAAGTAGATTGTTGCCACACTTCCACATCTCTGCTTTTGTCATGTCCCTTCAAAGAGGGAAAGAATCTTCTTATCCCAACTTGGAGGAAAGTAAACGTACAATCCCAATTTTATTTCAAGGTGGGAATACGGATTTGTTTTTCATGTAATTGTTTATTCAGTAGTCCCTACAAAATAAACCTTATCTCCTCAGTATGAAAAGGGATTTTATGCCAAGACAATCCCAATTACAGTTTAGGATGTCTTGTTAATGTAAACATGCTTAATTGAAGGAATGAAGCAAGTTTTGCTGAACACATTGTCTTACTCCAGCATGGAGCATTCCTGAAGAACAGATAAAAACCTCCAGTCAACACAAAGTTCCTTGATACAAATACCCAGAGCAGTCCTTGCAGGTTGCTGAGCACTTGCAGGTCCTATTCACAGTAGTGGGAACAAAGGACCCTCTCACAACCCAAAAATTGGGTACTTATGGGAAAAAAATTCAAGTGATGTTTAGTTGCCCAATAACTGGACTCAGATTTTTGAAAGAGCTCTGGTGCAAACAAGGTGCATGAACTTTCAGGAAGACTCAGCAGAATGTGTTTTGGACACAAACAAAAATTCAGAAGTGAAAGTAAAGCTCTCCTCAAAATCTGACCTCTGCGTCTTCTAATGCTTCCCATATGACTTTGAGTTGCCTCATTCCAGGAGGCAAACAAAACAGAAAAGGGCTGCTTCATGACGACAACAGATCTTCCTCTCCCACTTGTCTTGATTTTGTCTTCAGGTTGATGACTTTCTTATTCTGTGGAGTTGCTTGGTCATGACTTCAAATGGCCTTATGAATATATACAAAGTGTCCAACCCAAGGACTCGCATGTTGAAGTAGTAGTTTTCTATCAATATCAGCTTGATTTGTCCTGGCAGCCCATTTGTGCCACGGCCTAACGGCTTGGATGCCTTCAGGCTGTCTTTTCTCTCTTTCTTTAAATCACGTGTTTTGAACTTCAAACCGTGCGCTGGTCTTGTAGGGAAAAAAATACTTTTTTTTTTACATTTTGCCATATTTAACAGCAACAGGGGTTTCTGAGGATTAGACATACAGGAAAGCAAATTAAGGGTTAAATCTGAGGCAGCAGTTATCTGGAAAGGTCAGAAGTTCTGATTCTCCCAACAGCTGAGCAAAACAAGTGTTAGGAGGAGACCAGCTCTGAGGTCTGATGCCATCTTTCTATCTCACCTACTGACAACCCTCAACACAAGTTGTACCTCATTTTCAGCCATCATGGAGAACAATCCTTTTATACTCCCTGCTCCCCCCCACCCCGCCCCCACTTTTTATGTTTGTTTTCTTGTTTTAGTAAAATACCAAAGTTTAGCCAATACTTGCTATGGTGTAGGTATCCATGATGAATAACAACAAACATGATGAGAAAATGAGAGGCTGTCCTTCCATGTCCAAGAGCGAGTGACTTCCTAGAAGCCCATGAGGCTACTGGTGGGCCAGCTGGTGGGTATCACGGCTGCCAGGACCGATATGCAGTGTAGTCTCGTGTTGGTGCATAGGATGGGTAACCCTTGTTCTTTTGGTATGGTGGATGCCGGGGAGTCATGTTCATGTAGTCACTCTGATGGTACATGCTCTTTTTGGATTTTTGCTGTGGAACAAGTTTGAAGAGAAGTGTGAAAACATTTCTGCAATTAGTCTGCCCCGCCTGGGGCAAACATTCAAAAAGGGAGAAGAAGAAAGGGAACAGGCATCTTTTGAGCGAAGGGGTTTTGACTGTTAATAAGACCTGAGACAAGTTAATAATGTATTTGATTAATTTTTCCTTCTTTGAATTAACAAATTGTCTCACCCAACTCCCATATTAACTACTGACAGTTGTGGCCCTAGGTCCTGGTTCAGGGAAGCAGGCATATTTATAAAGCAGCCTCAGGTTTAAATACATTTACAAAAGAATTAGAACACATGTTCTCATAAAATAATCTATGGAATTTGCCCAACCTGAGTGTAAGTCTCCAGTTTATCTGCTGAGAGATTTACAGTGTTAGTTCTCCGGGTAAAGGAATGCTGCAAACCAAGGATACAATCTGCTAGCTCTCACCATCAATTCTCAGCTGTGGAATGACTCAGCAGAAGCAATACAGTCTGAGCAGTGAAGGTTGTCCTCATTTATTAGGATGAAAAAAGAAATAAGCTTAACTCAAACAGAATAAGAGCAGGAAGAATCAGCCCCAGCTCTGTGTATCACGGTTTACCCATCATGTACAGTAGTAACACACAATGTGTATGTTGTTCTGAGCCTTCCTTCAAGGGGCAAAAGATTCAGAGCTGACGTTAATCTTTTATCTGTCTTGCTATCCGGGCCTTAAAAATCGCATTTCTATTGTTGAATTCCTTATACTTGCCTTATAATTCCCCTGTGAGACAAGGCGGGATTGGTCTCTTTCAGAAATAAGAGTAGCAGAAGACAGGTGAAAATTTGTCGATAATCACAGAGGAAGTCTGTGGCTACAGCAGCATTTGAACCTCTGACTGCTGCAGATTGTGCACAAGGTTGGTGGTTTTGCATAGCTTAAGGCTTTATTGATCGGGGACTAGGCAAAGTGCTTCCATGCTTTTTCCTTAATACTGATCATACCTTCTTTTGCGATCTCCTTTTTACTGAAATTTCTTTCCTACATACATAAATATTTGCATATGCTGCAATATACTTGTGATGTTGTGGAACCGGAGGAGGTTTGCAAATGTGATGGCTGAATTATGCTGTACATGCAGAGTGGGGCAGTTACTATGAAACATTTTATGCTTTTTTTATACCCATGTTATATATATTCCAGGTGTTGAAAGTGAGTTACATAGTGCTTAAGCCATGCAATGCATGTAAATTATTGGATACGAAAGCTTTACCTGTATGTGTTCATCTCCATAATATAGGATTTTTAATTCACCTAAGAGGTAATTTTGCATGACAGAAGGACATTGTGCTAGTGAGAGTGAATGCTGACTGTTACAGGATCAAAGACTGCTACTTCTGGAGACTAAAGCAGTTTTTCTCCAGGGAAGGCAAAAGCGTATGAACAAATCTTCAGCTGCTTTCAGGAACTCAAGCAAAACAGGCTTGCTGTGGCTGTCAAGTATCGTATTTTAGGATCTTTTTCTATAATTCACCACGTCTTCCAGGCATCTGTATTTACATTCAGCAACACTAAATACATCCACACTCAAGAGTACATATTATCAGTGAAGCACCACCAGCAGTGATAGCAGCAGGTAAAAACTGATGCAGCAAACAGCACACATTGCAGTGCAGCCCTGTCACTCCTGCTGGGAGCAGACATGTTAGTAGCAAAGTGCGTAGCCATTAGGTACCAAATGAATACAGCAGAGAGAAAATGGTTCAGATTGCAAATGATGGATCTGAAGCTACACTAGCTCATCAGGGCACAGCCGCTGTAGCACAGCACTGTACACCAGCAGCTGTTTGCCTTAATCCTCTCAGCTCTCCTAGGAGTCAGCTTCTACAACAAAGCACAAAGGACCGCTTAACCTGCCTTTGTGTTTCCCTATGGCAATGCTCCTTCTGATTGTTTTCTGTTAGAACTAGCCATATATTGAGCAAGTGTATTTTTGTGAAACACTTAACAGATTTCAAGCTTCAGCTAGCAGCCAGAGTGGCTTTCTGTATACACGCAACATTTAACCTATCATGGACTCTGGGCCCTTCATAAAGGCTCCCTTGTAATGTGTTGAAAATTGCTATTTAATGACAAAGATACAGGGAAAAGGCAGAGTACAAGGAACAGAGTTCTCTATGGTCAATATTCAAGTCTTTCCCACATGGAATAAGTAGTGTAAATCAGCACTGGGAGATTACAATCCTAAGAATTGTCTAGAAAGGTGTCCTGCTGCCTCTGCATCACACCTCACCCTGTTACTCCAGCAGGAAGACCTGGATATGACCTGGGCCAGCCAACTCTCCAGAGAGATTAGAAAGCAAAAACAATGAGCCATAAGACTGTCTCAGCTTTCTTAGGGTTAATGTATAGAGGTGAATGAGGGACTGATGGGATCCTGGTGCTCCTACTCCCTTGCAGTCAAGCTGCCAGAAATAATGGGTACTCGAGGGAACTGCTGGATAGGCACAAGTCATCAGTGCAGATGGTCTTAGGGCAACTGAGGGTTCCCTGAAGATTGTTTTACTGTTAGCTGAGCTCCTTCTGTCAGTATAGTCTCAAGGGGTTTTGCCAGGAATGCCTGCAGTGCTAGATTTCCCTGACGGGGACAATTGGCAGAGCTAGAGACAGTGTCTTGGTATTGCTGCAGGGCACTGCCAACATTATGGCATTATGACATGCTTTAGGACTTCGCTGCAGGGTCCTGCCTGCCCACCTGGAGAGCATCTGGTGTTTCAATTCTTTTGAGGCATAGCATGGGTGTGCATATATACTGAAGTGAAGGGTAAACATGGCCTGAGAAATGAACGGGGGACAAAGATCATACAGAGAAAAGGAAAAACAATAGTTTCTTACCCAGTAGTTAATAAAAACTGCAGTTATTAGCATACTGTAGAAAGCAAGAACTCCAGTCACTGCCACCATAATCCACAAAGGAACTGCAGACTGAGGCTCTTGTGTTTGAATGGGTGTCTCTTTAAGGAAAAGAACAAAGAAATCTTTAATACATGAAAGCAAAAACCTCAATCTCTGCTTATATACTCCTTGTTCCAATGCACCATCTAAATTAATCATCATTTTAAGATGTCTGCTTCAGGGCATCGGGAGCAGGAATGTAGTTTTACCAGACAACCCAAGTTTTATTTTCTTTTTTCTTTTTCTTTTTTTTTTTTTTTTGTGAAGGAAACAAACTTGTAGGGAACGTGTATAAGGAGGATACGCCTGGCCTACAGGGATTTTCCAGCTTACCTTTCACGTGAATGACAGTTCCGTTGCTCTTCTCATTGTAGACATATGGGGGTGGATACATGGCCTCGATTTTGCAGAAGTAGATGTCAGTTTGGTTGGCATTCATATTCCAAAGATTGAAGATGACTTTGTCCTTATCGTGAATCCCCTGGCAGTTGAATTCTTTATTTGAATTACTGCTAATTTTGGTCATGTTCCATGAAATAAAGCAAACTTCAACTGCACTGTCTGTTCCTTTGTGCAGCGAAGCTCGAAATTCCTTCCCGGTTCCATTGTATGTGTAGTTGCAGACTAGAGTTGCAGTTTTGTTAGCTACAATGAGCAAAGGACGCTGAGCCACTAAAATCTTGTTTTCTGGAAGGGAGGGGAGAAAGTGAGAAAACCACTTGATTATAAAATACAGTATGAGACTTCGGAACCACACATTCTCCCGTGCAATTCTTCTCCATACCTCCTCTCCTCTGATGATACCCCCTACTAGGGAGTACATAACCACCAAGCTGCAGAAGCAGTTTCTCACAGAAGCTCTTCTTGCAACAAGCCCCCTCTATATAAATAATTACATAGTCACTAGGGGAGACTGTGAGGTCAAGAGCATTTTTCTTCAGTCAGAACACTAGTACAGAAAGTAGTCCATGTGATTAAGATATAACGCCAGGGCTCAGAAGGCTACTTTGCGTCTCTGTGTGTGTGTGTGTGTGTGTGTGTGTATATATATATATATATATATATATATATATATATATACACATATATGAG